ATCTTTGGGATGTGGGAGGAAACCAGAGGACCCGAGAAAACCCATGCAGACATGAAGAGAACGTGCAAACTCCACACAGACACTCGCCCCCGCTGAGAATCGATTTTTTTTCTTTCTCATCCACACTATAATGAAATCACATGGAATGAAATGACGTTATTTGAGGACCTGCTCCACGATACCACTTGGCAGTGGCAGACTGGAGTTGGGTCTGTCTGGAGTGCCAGTCTTTTCAACTCCAAATTCACGAACTTCGCTTGGGTAGCCTGATACTTGTCAGGGCACCAGTGTTTACATCATGGAAATCAGCAAAGCGCTACTAGCCCGGCTTCCTCTTTCGGAGACCCTGCTGGTCCACCAGCTCCCCTCTGGGTATTTATGGTTCACATGGGCTCTGCCAGTGTTGTTGATTGGCTCTTCCTAATCTATACATGCTCAGAGACCTGCTTCCTCCTGGTCCCCCTGCCCTGAATCCACTCTTTTCTTAACGTCCAGACGAGGAAGCAGGCAGACCTCTTGGGCAGGAAAGGGCGTTCCTGTTCTCTCAATGGGCTGCTTTTCAGATTTGAGGCCCAGCACTGTCTGGGTCTTCCCATATAATTAATTGATCCTCATTCCTCATCGACTGACACACTGAGAGAGCTGGGCAATTCGGCACCTGTGAAAAGCTTTTCCCAGGGTGATCTGTGGAGGTGCGCTCCTATCCCCACAGGCCTCCTCATTCCTGTTAACCTTTCAGAACTATAATTATCAAGGCAGGGGAGGGTGTCCAGTAGGGTTTTCTTTTTACATCTCTTCTCTGGTTTGGATTGGGGGTTTGTCCACTGGGGAGCCCCGAGAAATTCTTGGGCATTGTTCAGAGAGATGGCAGGTGGTATCTGATCACAGGACCCCATGCGGTTACACAAACCAGCCCCCTACCCCATGTGAGTGCTAAGCTGTTTGTAAGCCAGGGTGGCAACAAAGCTTTCAAGAGGCTGTTCGAAAATGCTTTATGGCACGTAGGGTTACAAGGCTCTAGCTGAACAAATGGAAAAATTAGTCTACCTTAAAATATCCAAGGCAAGTAATTTCCTATCACCTTGTTTCTTAAATGTACTTAACATCTAGAAGCTGGGCTTCCCAAATATAGATAAGGGTCATCAGTTAAAATGGCAACTCGGAGATAAAAATCTTCCACTTTAATGGCTGCTCGTAAAATGATGCCATCAGCCCCCCTGCTTGGAAAAGGAGAGATCAGCATTCATTTACTCTTCTTTAAGAAACAGGCTTCAGCTAGCCAATGTGCAGGACCTTACCACGTGTCCACCAAGGCTCAGCATTGGACCCACTGCTCTCTCCACGGGGCCTTCCAAGGTCTCACACCTTGAGCTTGGCTTTGGTTTGATTTTTTTTCTCTAATGGAAATGGTTTGCCTTTGTAGCTCCTGTCTCCAAATTTCTAAACTACTCCTCACACCACGAAGAGAGTTACTTATGACAACCAGAGTGGTGGTCAGTCCACTTATTTCCTTGTATTCTTTTTCCTTTTTTTGTTTTTGAATCAGTTGGCTTTTCGTTTTATTCCCTTTATTCATGCATTTTATTCATTCATTCACTCATTCATTTATTCCATTCCAGTCTTTCCATAGAGATTTATCAAATAATGTCTACATATCAGGAGCTAAGAATGCTAATTTCTAGGGATACGGTAGTATACCAGTCAGGAATCCAGCCTGCAAAGAGATTACCTTTGGTGGGGGGAACACACAAATGCAAGCAGACGGGAGAGGTCAGGGCACTGCGGGCATGCACACAACCTGCCCCTAAGAGCTGGAGAAGGCTACATTTGACCTATGACCTGAAAGATGAGCAGGCGTTTGTGCAGGGCAAGCACAGGGGAAGAGTGTTCCAGACGGAGCAAACAGTAGGTTCAAAGGCCCTGAGGCACAAGGCGGTAGCGCACAGCAAAGGGGCTGAAGTTAGTGGTGCAGGGCCCAAGTATGAGGGCACTAGTGGTTAGAGATATGGTTGGAGAAATCAGTAGGGGCTGAATAATGGAAGGCCTAGCCCACCATGGCAACAAGGTGGGACTGGGTTCAGAGGGCCACAGAAAGGCTGGAGCAGAGTGACATGATGAAAAAAAAAAGAAGGGTTAACTCATTCTCTGCCGCACAGTCACAGCACCTTTGAACAGAGGCCTCTGAGCTTCTCAAGATGTCTGGTGTCATTATCAAATGAGTAATCTGGCCTTAATGCTGATTGAGGGTGGGGGAGGTGGGAAGATGACCGTGACTCACAGGAGGGCTGAAAATAAACCAACCCTAGAACTTCAGATGCAAATGAGAATAAATGAAATCTCGGGCTCACTGTAGTTGGCTTTTTTTTGAGGGGGAGAGGCTGGACACTGAGATATGAGGCCTGCTGAACATTATAACACCTTCTCTGCACCTTTTGGCAGGCGAATGACTTCACGGGCCATGAATATGAGTCACTAAATTCTAAACCTTGGGTGAGAAAACAAAGTTTGATAAATGTGTCTAGCCATTGGAATAAAGACCCAGAGCATAAGCAAATCATGAAGTTCAGACTGTGCCAATGCAAAAGAAGCCCTGGCCAGGGGCTTGTGTTACACACACATTCATGCACACACACATGCAAACCACACACACACACAAACATGCACACACACACACAAACATGCACACACACACGCACACACACATACAAACATGTCCACACTCAAACATGCACACACATGAAACATACAAACATGCACACACATTCATGCACACACACATGCAACATGCAAACACAAACATGCACACATATGCAAACACACACACAAACAGGCACACATATGCAAACATGCACACACACACACTTTCATGCAAATACACACCACACAAACACACACACATTCATGCACACACACATGCAAACACACACACAAACATGCACACACATTCATGCACACACACATGCAAACACACACACACATCCTCCCTTTCTTTCCTTGAAATATCAGTTGCAAACGTTAATCCCTAAAATATCTCATGCTTAGAAGGTCATACAACAGAAAGTGACCGAAAGATGAGGCAGAGGTGGATTTAGGAAAGTTGGAGGTAAGGGGTAGCTTAGACAGGAAAAAGAAAATAAAAGAGAAGAAAATAAATCAGTCAAGAACCATGAATCCAAAAATCACATTTCAAAATGTTTCAGTATTTTGTGAGTTTATAATGTCTCTAAAATTCCTGTCATATTTTTATGGATTTAATAGAAACTACTGCACACACTTCGCTAGATTCTCTAGGAATCCTTGCCCTGCTGTTATCACTTGAGGAAGTGACTAAGGAGGTCTGGCTTTTTATTGACCAAACACTTAGGTGACAGAGCTTAAATCCTTTTTATGATGCACAAAACCACACCAGAGGCCTGATTAGCTTGTCCTGTGTTAATCAAAACTTTTTTTAGGCATTCTCTCTCACCTCCTATTTCATGGCCGGAAATAGTACAGCCTAATTTTTCAAATATATGTTAAATCCAACAGGCTTAAAAAAAATTTTTAAAGCAGATTAAGTGGAGAAGAGGCTATGTAAGGAAGACTTCCCAAAGATGGAGTGGCTCAAGCCAGTAGTACACAGAAAATCCTCTCTGATCTTTTGTTATGGAAGAGTTCTTGAGTAACCAAACACTTCCAGTGCATTATTTTTTTTTAAGATTTTTTAATTGGGGAATTGGGAACAGCGTTGGGGAATTGGGGAAGGGGAACAGACAAGTTGTTGTCTTTTTGTTCTTCAGTCTAGTTGTGGAGGACGTTCCTTCACTGGCCCATGTTGGTATTATCATTGCACTCTTCCGTGAGGCAGTCGCTTGCCTGCCATTGGACGGCCACCCATGGTGGCTGCCAGCTACTCACGGTAGCTCATGGCAGCCCACTGCAGCCTACGCCTGTCGTCAGTGACTCACGGCAGCCCAGCTCCAGGTTGAGCTGTTGTTCACCATCTTAGCTGTAGAGGGCGCAGCATTACTGGCCCTCATGTGGGATCAGAACCGGGGCCCTGCTGCTCAGAGCTGGAGTCCCACACCAATTCTTAACCAACGAGCCACTTGGCTGGCCCAGTGTGGATATCTTTCAAAATGGCACCTTCCAATAACCAATAACTCCCAGAAACTGTGACCATCACCACAATTTGCCAAGGAACTTAGTCATGTGTAAAGGACATGTCCTAGGAAAGCACCTCTTCCTCTCATGTATTATAGTTTTCTTGAGTTAAACTCCAATGGCCATCCCTGTTGAGAAAGCTGCCTCTGGCAAGGAGTTGAAAACAAATCTATCTTGGCAAAATGGGAAATTATTTGTGGAGACAGAATTAAACTTTGGTAGTTTTTCTTCCTTTTCACAATTGTACTTTTGTTCATAGCTTCAGCTGGGAGAGAGAGTGCATACATTTAGTTTGGAGTTTATGAGTTCATATTTTATAATTAACGTTGCCAACAGGGGAGTTTGATTAATACCAAGCAGTGGATTTTGAGCAATGTTCCATACAAATTGCCAAATTTAGCAATAAAATAAATTGGTTATGTGAACATAATTAGTAGGATGACTACTTAAAATTCAAAACCGAATGTGAATAATTCCAAATTGTCTGAGCCACAGATCCATTATTTGTATAGAAAGGGGAAAGTATAGCATTTGGGTTTTATTTTGCCCTCAACCATAATGTTATTCGCCACCAAGCTGAACATAATGAAACTTCTACAATGGGCTGCGACAATATATTAGAGGAACCCAGAAACACACACATACGAGCGCGCGTGCGCACACACACACACATACACACAAAGGTAATGTCATACAGATAAGAAATGCTCAACCATGAATTTTCATCACAAATGTAAAAATGTATAACAAATTTTTCAGCAAATGCTGCATTACATTTTTTTCTGATGTGTTCTACCATAAACCTCTAGTGCACAATTACTCAGCAGAGCTTTTTCCCTTTAAATAATTCACGGTACCTTATTGTCACCCTGGACTTCTCCAAGCCTTTGCTGAAGTTCTTTAATTTCTTCTCCCAGATGTTTATTTCGGTCCTGAGAATCTCTCAATAGTTGGGCAAGGTTAGCCTGGAAATATCAACACATTATGAAGTACAATCAGAAATGGAGGAGTGGATAAATGTGCGACTTTAGTAGGTTTATAGAAGCTGGCATCCAAGACCAGCTGAACAACACAAAGCACATTAGAGTAAACGCATATATGAATGCAGCAAGTGTGCAAATCACATCACTACAATTGCATGGAGGGGAATGAAGTTGGCCATGAACCACAATTTGGGGATAGTCTTTGTTTCCAAAATGGCTCACAGACAAGTAATGGAGGAGTCAGCCATATTCTACTTAAAAAAAAAAAAATTGAAGGGCAAGGAACATTGTTTTCTCTACAGGGTCTACCTCAAGCATCTAGTAGATATTCCAGAAATATTTTTTAAATGAGAGATAATATGCTGTGCCTGGATGTTATGGTCCCAGCTTGGGGAGGAATCTGGAATGTCAGAGCTCTTTACTAAAAATCTTGCAAGTGGACATAGATTTCAATTCTAAAATTTGGGCCAACAATATAGGAAAAGTTTCATTTCCTTGTTTAGTTTTTTAACTTCAAATGTATCTTGTTTAATGAGCTTCTCTTTACAACCTCCTAGCCTAGAATTTCATCACAAAAGGAAGCAGCCAGAGAAGAGATGTGTGACGTGCCAAAATTTCAGAAGTCAGGATCGGGAGGTAACGCAATATTCTCCTGGGCTAGTTTCCCCACCTACTGATTCCCCTGGTCTAGTTCCCATAATTCCAAACAGCTGGAATGATCACCTGTCAGTCCCATCTTCACGGCGTCATCCCTTCCTTAGATTTGCATCCTACTCAGACCCAGATGCCTCTGTCCTGTGTGGGTGCTTGTGCATCAACCAGCCTCCCCTCTAAATCACACTGCATCTCACACCATTGTGTCCCTTTTCCCAGAACACATGGGCACCTTTTATCATGCTCCTACCCTTTCTCCAGGTTTCCCAAACCTGGAATTGCTGACTCTCCCTAACTATGGACATGCTTTCATCTGCTCAAGCCTGTAACTTACCATGCCACTAACCTCCCACGGCTTCTCATTCTGAGGTACCATTTGTATTTTGCTAGCTGTAATTTGCTCTAATTCTCACCTTGCTTGTCGTGTTCTTATCTAACCTTAGCAAGAAGACCACAAGCTATGGAAAGGCAATGATTCTGTTCTCTACTTCCTCAGGTTGCTCCAGAAAGTGCTTGTGTTCCTGCAAATGTTTTACAGACTCGTGATGAATAAATAAATGAAGGGAGGAGGGAAGGAAACAAGCAAGCAATCAGAATATGGCTCGTGGAGAGGAATCACTCAGAAATCAACACACGGGGATTGTAAAGGTTATCTTGTAGTTTCCCTCCACGTTATGGCTGAAGAAAACCAGATCCAAAGACATTGGGACAGTAGAACAACCATAGTGGGTAAATCTCCAAAGACTTCAGTGCTAATACTTTGGGGAATACTAAATTATGTTAGGTACTAAAAAGAGAATAAAGATGAAAGAACATAAAGATGAAACCTGGGTTCACCTTTGACTCCTCACTGTGTCATCACATATATCCCATTTATCGGGGCATCCAGGGTCCCCACCCTCAACGTGCCCTCCCCCCCAGTTCAGCTTGCCCCCAAGCTCCCTGCTGCTCCCCATTTACACCAGGCATGATCCCAACTCAGCGCTGTTGCACTGTTCTCTCTCACTGGAATGCTCTCCCTCCAGAATACCTCTTGTCTCACATCCTCACCTTTTCCAGGCCTTTGTTCAAAGTTCATGGTCTCAAGGAGGCCCACCTGGATCACTTGATCTACTAGTGCAACCTGCCAGCGTCCACCCTGAATTCCCAAGCCTCTTCCCCTACACTACTTTTTTCCCATAGCACTTATCATCTTTTAACATACCATGTAGTTTACTTTGTGGTGTATTGCTTACTATTTATTTCCTGTCTCCCTCTCCCTACTAAAATAGGAGTTCCCTGAGGGCAAGGAACTTTCTTTTCTCTACTTGATCTACCTCAAGCACCTAAGAGATACTCTAGGAATATTTTTTTTTTTTAATGAGAGATACTATGCTGAGCCTGCAGGTTATGGTCTCAGCCTAGGGAGGGATCTGGAATAATAATAATTAACAACATTAAACCAGTGCCTGGCATGGAGTCTTACATTAAAAAACAAAACAAAACAATAACGAAAAACCCCACTCATCGCCAATGGCTGGATTTAAGCACCCTCTGATTTCTACTCACTTACTTGTGAACATTACTCAATAATGCTACCTAATTTTTCAATTCCATATCTGCAAAGCTCATATCTGGGAGTAGTGGTAACCCAATTTTCCCAGATTCCCATTCTCAGCAGATAAAAATTTGGTGAAGGATAAGGAAAATTAATTCCCATTTTACAGGTAGGAAAGCAAAGAAATAGGAGACTCTGTTACCAATGGACCATTTTTGGAAATTTCTCTTAATGGAATCATATAGACTAAGTTGGATCCCAGGTTCTGCCCCTTACTGGGCTGGGTGACCTTGGGTGAGTTTCTTAACCTCTTGAGTTTCCCCATCTGTAAAATGGAGTAAGCACACATACTTCCTGTGAGGATTTGATACTAAAATTGAATAACGAACACAGGACACCTACTGCGTGCTTTACCTACAGTAGGTGATGGTTAAAGGCTGGTTACCCCACCTTGATCGTGCCCCTTCACTTGCCCAATTCAACCACTTGGATACTGTTGGCTCCTTTGTGATCTTGTGTCTTCATTGTTACTTAGTCATCCATTCATTTGTACAACAGCTATTTATTGAGTGCCTATCATGTGCCAGGCACTGTTTTAGACTCCGGAGATGCAGCGGTGAGCAATGCAGGTAAAACCCCTTGCCCTTGTAAGCTTACATTTTAATAAATGACATTGAATTACTCAAATCATAGTGCAATAAAATTAATAATAACCTAGTAGTTGGGTGATCTGTGCTATGGAGAAAAACAAAGCAGGCCAAGGGAGTAGTATGCCAGGGGAAAGGACCACAGAAGGCCTCACTGGAAGACCACATCTAAACCAAGACTTGAAAAAGAAGAGAGAGTGAGTGTGAGCCTTGTGGCTATCCCGGGGGCAAGTTCTAGGTGGTGGAAAAGGCACCTGGCCGCCTTCTCTCTCCCCCATCACATGGCAAGACTTCCACTTTGGAGAGGAGGAGCAGGCTGATCCCAGAGACTGCAGTAGAGTGGAGAGATAATTCAATTCTTGTTTCTTTTCTTGGTTCCTCCCCTCCATCCCGTAGTTCTCTTTCCTTAGCAGAAAGTATCACAAGTGGGCAACCTTTGCTTTTCCTCCACGGAACTCCAGAACATTTCCCAGACATTAACTCGGCACGTATAATCCCTTCCCAGCAGATGGAGGGACAGACCCCCAGGCTAAGTGACTGGCCCAGAGGAGGACAGAAGGAGCAGCCCCGACCTCCCAGAGCCAGCGGCTGCCTGAACATGGCCAGGCACCTCAGCCCCAAGAGACACAGCAAAATTCACCTTCACAGGAACCTGCCTTTTCTTAAACGGCAGAAGAGATGCTCAGAAAAAAAATGCTTGCAACAGTAACAGTGAAAACTTAATAAAAGACACAAAAAAATCTGCCACATCCCGAACCTTCCGTTTTTGAATCAACAATGGCTCGAGCCCCTTAAGTGGGTGGGAAGACCCCGACATTTGCTCACCAATGTAACTGCAGTAACTAAACCAATACAACCCCATCGATCAGTGGTGAAAGACTGGTTCTCTACCACCATCCCGTCACAGACCAGTACTTTTGCAAAATATAATAAAAATCAATTATTAGGAAAATGAATTGAAGAAGACATCAAGACCTTAAGTATTTGTTAGATTCAACAGACATAACATCATGCTGTCTGACTGCTATCAAAGTTTCTGAACACTTACTCTCAATGTCTGCACTTAGCTTCTCCAGAAAGAGCAGCTTGCAGCCTGGCACTGGTCCTTGGGCCTCCCTTTGAACAACACGGAGCTCAGCGATGCTCTGCGGTATTTAGACATTAAAGCAGGGCAGGCACCCGATATATACCTCAGTTTCCAGTGATACACGAAGCGGAGGACAGGGCTGCTTTTGGAAACCGTGATTCAGAGACCCAGTGATGTGACTGTCAAACATTATTTACTCTGCAGCTTGGTTGAAAATAAATCTACCAAAACAAAGTCAGGCATTTCTACAGTAGCTGCAAAACAACAGTCAATCAGAATCACATCGCCTCCAAGTGAGTTCTCGGTAAATCTACACCAGCTTTAAAGCTGACCCCTAGGGTAGGCTGGGGTGGGGGAGGCGCCCCAGCTTTAAAGCAGGTGACTTGTAATTTTCTTTCACATTTCACAGGCTGGATTACTTGTCAACACACAATTCTTTTCTATTCAGTCCTTCCACCTCCTCAACTCCAAAACAATAACTTTGAAACTAGAAAATGACTATTCTGATATGGTACCTAATTCCTTGACATACACCTTAAAGAACAACAACAAAAAAAAAAAGGGAGAAGAAAAGTAGTGCATTTCAAAGCAACTCAGAATAGAGGAGGAAAGTTCACACAATTCTGTTGACCAAAAATAACACCCATGACTCACACGTATTCACTATAACAATCCATCAAGCCAACATGCGGGGCCTGCTTATAATTTATCAACTATGCAGAGCGTTTTGTCTCTGTGTTATTGAGAAAGACTCGGTGACCATCAGTTTAGAATAGCAGCACTAATGTAAAGAAAACGCCGGGGGAACGGTGGTGGGCCATCCAAGGCTGGGAAAGATTCAACAAAAACAAAACCTAGAGATTATTTCCTCTACATCTCTAGGGCACAGGGTAGCATAAATAGGAAAACATGAAAAGGCTTAAAAAGAAGCCTCTTTTCAATACTCAGATCTCGCCAGGGCCGACATTAAAGGTTGACATTTTCGCTCTGATTATAGAGGAATGCTGAATACAGTGGAATATATTTTAGAATCCATATATTTAAGTGACTCTTTTTG